GATATAGTGTTTTTTAATCAATAAAACTGTTTTTTAATATCTTGCTGCATTTTGTACAAGTTCATACTCAAGTTTAAATAAACAACAACACTAAAGCTATTCTGTTATACCTGTATGTAAAAAACACACTGCACCCAAAATATTTCATAGTTCAGCAAAACTGATCAATCTAATAAACTTAAACCTGCTCCATCCTCCCTGTTCTGGTATTTTAAAGAGTACTTAGCAGGAATATTAGGCAACCTGACTAATAGGGTTGCAAACTCCCAGCAAAAAATAAATAAATAGTGAACCTCCACGCTCCACCTCATGATGCTTAATCAACGTAATCAACTATAATTTGATGCAGTGTGAAAAAAATGCACAGAAATAAATTATTTTTTTCAAGAATAATTAAATAGATTCAACATCTTTCTTCAACAGAATTGCACAGATGGTACCTTCCTAAAGGAAAAAGTACTATAGCTTACTAGGGTATATTAGAATTAATAGTTACTATATACAGTAATGGACTTCTATATATTTTACATAAGATTAAAACTTTGGGTGTAAGATTCAGATAATTATTTATTAAAAGCTCGACATTTTAAATGAGAATAAGAAAGAAAAGTATGTCTTTGTGCCCCTTTTCCCTGTTCATGCCCTATTGGCCCCCCTGGCTAAACTTTGCTAGCTCCGCCCCTGCACAGTTACACCAGCTGTAGAAAAAGATCCTGGAGTAGAAAGTAATATTAAATACATTCTAACAACAGCTGATCAAGCTTAAACGTGCTGCTGCTGTTCAGCCGCTGGTTTCCTCTGTCTGGCGTGAAGTGAGCCAAAAACAAAGAAGAGAGACGATCAGCTGATCATTGATCAGTTTCATGATTGAAGTAGCAGCAGGAGAGAGAGAGAGGCAGTCGCTCCATATATCGCTTGTTAAGCTTAACGCAGGAATGCTTTACAAACATTCAGAGATGGACTTACACACTTGCTTTACTTCTCTCTGGGATAACCTCGGAGATGAAATGCTGGTTTGGTAGCGAGGCTACAAATACACACAGCCGCTCTATCACGTGAGCACACTGCTCCGACGTGCTACGGTTATGTGAGGTTCTTTTCTGATATTTAATGGATCGATTACATTTTTTATTTCTCTCCGATATCCGATCCAGTAATTTAGGTCAGTATCGGACCGACACCGATACGTAATATCGGATCGGTCCATCTCTAGTTGAGGCAGGGGGCTGACATCTCTTGGGCAGCTAAGTGATGTCAGCCCTTTTTAGCCATAGCCAGTTGTCATGTATTGATATGGCTATGTCTTAATGTGATGACCTTTGAACCGGATGTTGTGGTCCGAAGGAAGCCCCGTTAGGTGGCTAGTGGTAAGATGGACAGTGTTCAATAAAGCAACATAAAGACCGTGCTTTATGTCCTGATTCAATTCAGAGTGCTCTGCCTAATTTAGTAATAAGGTGGGCACACAACACCAGTGACTGGTCCTCTCAGCAGTGGCAGCTAATTCTCTCGTTGCACCTGTCCTCTGACCCCAGTCTCTCTAAGCATTTTTGCTGTTGTACTGGCAACAAAGCCCCCCAGTAAAAAATTGGTTTAAACATTTTGTGTAAATGAAAGATGCAACAATGTGATTATTTCATTATTACCAAAGAAAAGTTAAGTTAGACTTGTGGTTGTAAATGAACCGTCCCATGTTGTGTAGCTTTCTGGATTTCAGGAGTCTCAGGTTTCCAACCTTATGAACAGGATGTTTTGTTATGTTATGTTAATTATGTTATTATGTTAATACTTTATTGAGAGGGATGAGCTGAAAGTGTTGAAACCCTTCTCCTACGTCACAGGTGAAACTCGAACATGAACATTAACACACATATTTTGGCAGGAATCCATTGTGCTTTATATATTTTCATAAATGTCACCAACACTTGAAACACTGTCTGAAATTCTGAGGCTTCAGAGTCATTGCCTCAGTGTGCACGTGATGAAACACTTCCTGGATTTCTTGACGCATGCTCTGCAGCCTCGGCACAGCGCGTCCAATCACTACATCTCAGCTCCTTCACTCACTCACCTGGCTGTCTGACTGAGGGCTGCTCTATTCTACAGCCCTCAGTCCTCAGAGAATGTCCTCCCAAACCAACTGTTCAAATTAAGTGGAGTAATCTGCCTCTTCCCCTGTGACGCTCACTCCCTACATTTCCCTGTAAACCAAGTCTTCTGTGTTTAATAAAATCCTCATTCAGAGCAATCAGCTGCTCATTGTGTCTGCATTTGAGTCCGGACTGTGTTATCAGCCTTCAGGGGCCCTGACATTTTATGTTTTTGGTTTGTTTTGAAATGCAAATGTCATTTTGGTCATTGTTCTGTTAAAGCCTTTGTAATAATGTTGTGATGCTGCACTGGGCTCACGGCCATGACAACATACACATATAGAGATTTTGGCTTCTGAACAGTTTTCCAGCCCCTTGAAATAAGAAATTTTAAACTTTTTAAAAACCTTTTCAGTCAATAAAAATGCAGATGTGTTTGAAGTCTTTTCAGTGCTACAAACACACAGATTTGGACAAACAGTGAGAAAGAAGTGTGCAGAAACTGAGCAACAGTTTCCCTCTGATTAAGTCTTCTTCTGGCCGAGCAAGCTGTCATGTCTGCGATTTGTTTCTATGACTTTGTCCTGAAGGGATTTTTTAAAAGACGCAGGATTTTTACTGGCTCGTTCCTTTTAATGGAGTCAAACTGTAAAAGGACTATTTTAATTGCAGTTAGTAAATAATTTCAAATTTAATGATTTTGGATATTAGTTTAATTGTGTTAATGTGGAAAGTGGACTAATACGTGTGTGTGTGTGTGTGTGTGTGTGTGTGTGTGTGTGTGTGTGTGTG